GTGGGAGAGTGAATTTTATTGCAGGTGAAGGGACTTTTTTCAGCATCTTAAAAGTAGAGAGCATATGCATTGGACTAGTAATGCCCATTTAATAACAAAAGAAAACCACTGAATTAAATTTGGTAAAATTGCAAGTGAGCTGCAAAAGCTTGTGGTTCTTAAAATCATAGAATCAAGAAGGGATCCTGGAGGTCTTCTAGTCCAACCCCTTGTCCAAGGCAGGAGTCTTTATATCATCTGGGACAAATAGCTATCCAGTCTTTTGAAAACCTGTAACAACTGAATTAAAATTCTATTGGTTTAATTGTTCTTACTGTCAAGAAATTTCTCCTTATTTCCAGGTTGAATCTCCCTCTGATGAGTTTCCACCCATTGCTTCTTGTTCTGTCCTCGGGTGCTATGGAGAATAAATCTTCCCTCTTCCATATGACAGCCATTCAAGTATTGAAAGACTGCTATCATGTCTCCCCTGAGCCTTCTCATCATTAGGTTTAACATGCTTAGTTCCCTTAGCTGTTCTTTGTGTGATTTAGCCTCCAGACTGTTATCCTCTTTGTTGATGTTCTCTGCACTCTTTCTAGGACTTCAGATTCTTTTTGGATCATTCTGATGAGTACAGTATTTTTTAAACATCTAATAGCAATACTGGCCCTCAGGAAAACAAATATAAACAAGCAATCCCATGGATTGTTAATTCAGAAATAAGACCCATAAACTCTGTTTGCTTACTCTTAAATGTACACAATATTGAATCTAAGTTATGTTCTAAATGCACATTTCCCATTATTTAATACAAAGTATTCCATTACTCAAAATTGCTCTGCATTGTCTGTTTTGATTATTGCAAAGTTATTTCATGAAACATTAAACATGTCTAACTTCAGTTACTCTGCAAATATTGTTAATTGATTTACAAAGGTGCAGCACTCTCTATTTTTTTGTATTGAATTTAAAGAAGTTAATTTACAATTTGAATGATCTATTTTAGTAAAGAAGGAAATATATACAAAAAAATAAAATATACCCTATGGGTAGGATTTCATCATTGTTTTAATTATAGATACTCCTCACTTAGCAACCAGCACAATTGGGATCAGGGACTCTGTCACTAAACACTATGATTGCTAAGCAAAGTATCATATATCCATGATGGATTTACAATGTTTCCCATTTGGTTATTAAGCAAGTCACCATGGGTTATTAATGAGACATCATGTGACCATAACTTGTGATTTTAAAAGCCTACTGGTTGCCAAGCACCTGAATGTAGATCACATGACAATGGGGATGGTTGTAAATGCAAGGACATAACTGCAATAGTCATAGATGTGAGGACTGGTCATAAAGTTAAAGTGCAGTTGTAACTTCAAATAGTCCCTAAACAAGGCGGTCATTATGCTTTCAGAGGTCTATCTGTATTTGACATATGTACTATAGTCATAGCTATTAAAGCATTAAAACCACTGATTTATAGCATTAACACAGTTCAAATACTATAACAGGGTTTAATTGATTTTTCCTTTGCATGATAGTCATTGTACTTTGTAAACCAAGACTTAACATTAAGTGTGTATCAGAGCCATGATGGCGCAGAGGTTAGAATGCAATATTGCAGGCTAATTCTGCTGACTGCCAGAGTTCCGAGTCCCAAGGTTGACTTAGCCTTCCATCCTTCCAAAGGCCCAGATTGTTGGGGGCAATATACTGATTCTGTAGATCGCTTCTGTAGACAGTGGTGGGATTCAAATATGTGAACAACCAGTTCTCTGCGTGGATGCCACTTCCGGAAGGCCTTTCTGGGCCTGGGCAACAAATAATTAGCTACCGGCTAAAATCTCACCACTGCTTAGAGAGGGCTGTAAAGCTCTGTGAAGCGGTATATAAGTCTAAGTACTAGTGCTATTTAGTCAGTAAGTCAGAGTTAAACAATACTGTATGTATCTTGACTGTGGGCTGTGACATGTAATTTAGAACAATTATGTATAAACCTTATTGAAGCTGTGAAACAGGAATAGTAATGTTAGCATTTAAGAAATAGTTGAAAATATGGAAGAGAGTACTATGGTACCTTGCTTTAAGATGAAGCGCCCTATGCTACAGTACCTCCAACCTAGGCAGTGAAGAACAAGCAGATATACATGCTTGTTACAGATTATTTCATTCCACTAACCAGCCCTCTGGGGCAAAACTTCCAGATTCACAACATGTACTTTTGACTGTATTAGCTTAATCTTTCAGAAGTCTTTCAGGAATCATTGTATTTTAATACTTTGCCTTTTAAGAAAGCCAGGTATTCCCCTCAAGTTATGTAGTATTATCTCAGTCTGCAGTAGTAGCTTGGTCTTTTCTTTTCCTAAAAGAAAGGAGAGCAGAGATAGTGATCACATTTCATACTATTCTGTATTGGCTGTCATCCCTGTGAAATTCAAAAACTTTTCATTTAGTAGTGAGAAAGCTCCTCCAACTTTTCATGTAACTGTCAAAGGACAACGATTACTAAGAGTGACTTTGCACAGACAAGTAACAGTCACCTAAGGCTTACACAGCTACCAACTTCTTCCTTCCTTGGATTAGTTGGCACTCTGGTGAACCAGTGTGCCTTGCTGTGCCTTCCAGCATGTGCGTCTTGCTGTAGCTGGATGCAAATGTAGCACTACTTGGAGCACTGGGAGGAGCAAGATTTTACTACCGAGAAGAGCAAGATTGGATCTTGTTCAAGGAATGTCATATCTGAGACCTGTATAACTGGGAAGTTTCCTGGAGCTCAGCTGCAATGTTATGGTGTACTTTCAAAGATAACAAAATTACTGGGTTTGTTTCATAGTAATAGTATATTAAGAGATTAAAAAAAATAATCTGAGTCTTTTTTTTTTTAAATGCACCCTGAAACTCTTCCATGCTCTATACTTATCATCTTAAGTATGCTGCAAGTAACTTATTACCATACCGCTTTTTTGAAATGGAAAAGAGCCTCAGGCATAAAAAATAAATCTACAGTATTTTTGTGTATTTAAGGACTATTGCCTGTTAGATTATTAAAATAATGAGAAATAAACCTATGCAGAGTTTTAAAAGCATCATTTTAAACAGTTTTATTTTGTAGAAATGGGACGACATCCAGTTTTCTTTTCCCACTACAGGTAGTCCTTCATTCGTCTTTAAGATCACCATTTCCCATATCAATCTTGGTGATCGTCAGTACATTTCTCTGTATGTTCCCCATCTATCTGAATTATTGAATTAAATATTAACAGAAAAACAGAGTTGGAAGGGACCTTGGAGGTCTTCTAGTCCAACTCCCAGCTCAAACAAGAAACCCTGTAACATTTCAGACAAATGGTTGTCCTATCTCTTCTTAAAACCTCCAGTGTTGGAGCACCCACAACTTCTGTCAGGAAATTGTTCTGTCAGGAAATTTCTCCTTAGTTCTAGATTGGTTCTCTGCTTGGTTGTTTTTCATCCATTGCTTCTTGTTCTGCTTTTAGGTCCTTTGGAGAATAGGTTGACCTCCTCTTCTTTGTGACAGCCTCTTAGATATTGGAATATTGCTATCATATCACCATTAGTCCTTCTTTTCATTGAACTAGACAAACCCAATTCTGTTCTTCATATGTTTTAGCTTCTGGTCCCCTAGTTAACTTTTGTTGCCCTTCTCTGCAGTCTTTGTAGAGTCTCAACATCTTTTTTATATGGTGGTAACCAGAACAAGATGCATTATTACAAGTGTGGTATTATCAGAGCATTATAAAGTGGTACTAACACTTCAGGTGAACATGATTCTAAACCTCTGTTAATGCAGCCTAGCACTGTATTGGCCTTTTTGGCAGCTGCAGCACACTGCTGGCTCATATTTAAGTGACTGTCCACTAGGACTCTGAGATCCCTCTCACAGTTACTACTATTGAGCCAGGTACCATCTATATCTGTGCATTTGGTTTTTCTTGTCTAAATGTAGAACTTATTTTTTTCTCACCATTGAATTTCATTTTGTTAGATAGATGTTCAAGTCTGTTGAAATCCTTCTGTATCTTGAGTTTATCTTGTGGGGCATTGGCTATTCCTGGCAGCTTGGTGTCATCTACAGATTTGATGTTTGCTTCATCATTGATGAAGATATTGAAGAGTACTGGGCCTAAGACAGAGCCTCGGAGTACCCCAGTGCATACTTCCCTCCAAAAATAATATAAAATTATTTAATAATATTAAAATTGAAGTTATCACTATAATGCATAATGACAAATGCCATACGTATTTTACCTTTTTATGAAAAAAATGACTATTCTTGTATTATACTTTACATTCAGTAGTAGAAATTCTTCTGTGTGCAACTTCCTTTCACATTTAGAGTTCATGGAGACTCCTAGATCTGGGTGAGAGTTTAATAATATATTGATACTGGTATTGGGAAATACCAGTGTACTCATATACTGTATACAGTACACAGATCTGTGAGCATTGTTGCAACTGGAAAATAAAGCATTTCATTTATTCCATAGGTATATCTGACATGTTACTGCAACACATCTGTGAATTAATCTGTGATATGAACTGTACAACCATGACATTTGCACTGCAGTGCCAAATAATTATTTTGTACTGTGGTCTTACTATGAACAGTTTAAAGTCCTTCATGGGGTAATTACAATAATTTTTTCTGTAAGTTTAGGATTATTTACCTTATTCTGCAGACAGGGTTTGAGCCCACCCATTGTTGGTTTACTAACAGTTTTTGCTCAGCTGCAATCTTAAATGCAAATAATTACTTGTTTGATTTTGTAGAGAGTTGTAAACAAACAAATTGCCCCATTTGTCGTCCCCCTATAAAGGCCTCTGAAAAATAAGCCCTTTTTTAAAATAGAATATCTGTCACTTTTTATGTAAGCAGGGCTTCTTCAACGTTTGAAATCAACTAACAAAAAAAATGCAGAAAGTGCTTGTGGTGCGTGGGCAGGAACCACTTAGACCCAGCGGGAGTTAAGATGTGCCCCGTGATCATTTTTCAAGCTTCTTTACAATTTGGCCTGGCTCCACACGCGATGGTGGTGGCGGCGACAGGGTTGGTGTGGTGTTACTAAGCGTGTTTGCGGTGGAACGGGTGTAGTTTTCTGCCAGAATGGCGTGAGAAAGACACAAAGCGGCCAGGAAAAAACGGAGGCCAGGCAGTGACCAAAATCTTCCATTCCTCCCACGAGCAGCTAGGCTAGGCCGAGGTTTCGGGAGGCTCCTAGACTGGGCAAAAGGCCCTCGGTTGCAGTGGCCAGTGGTTGGCAAGGAGGGACTCTGCTTCTTTCGCCAGCCAATGGCCGCTGCTTGGTTCGAAGGTTTCGAGAGCTGCCTCCTTGGCTGAAGGAAGGGGACGCGTTAATGATTGTTGGGGAAGTACAGTCAGCGCCTTTGGCAGAAGCGGAGGAGCTGGAGCCGCGTTCAGAAAAGCGGGTTGGGACGCTCAGGGCGCGCTCTTGAGGCCCCTTGCAGGCAATTTGGAAATTGCTCCTTGGGCCGAAGAAAAAGAGAGACCCGGGGAGCTCAAGAAAACGCGCGGGAAGGACTGGCGGGTCTCTCGAGCTGCCTGTTGAAGGAGGGAGCTGCAGTAAAACCAGAGGGAGACCGGCTTAGGGAAAGAGAACTGTGGCGCCTTTTTCGGAGCGCCCCTCGCCCAGGCGTTCGAGTTGGCCCGGGGAAACGCTACTTCTCCCCCTTGGAAGCAAGAGTACGGAGGTTGTGGTTAGTACTCCGGGGAGGGAGGGAGGGAGGCTGAGGAGTTTCTGACCGCGGCTGCAAAAGTCATCAGCGACCTCACCAAGCAGCCATTTCCAGCAACTCCCTGCCGCTGCTCGCCCGGTCCCTGGTTTCTCGGTTAAATGTTGCTAAACAGGGATGAACGCCGCCAAGCGTTTGCCTTTCTGCGCGGAGTTAATTAAAGGTAAGCAAACAGCGGAGCGTTAAAGGAAGTGCGGTGTGGAGAATGGTTTCCCCTGTTGTACGTTTAAAATTCCGAAAACTTGCAGAAGTTTTCCGCAAGTGGGGAAAGAGGCGTGGTGTGGGTTTTTCAAGCTCGCTCTTGATACAGTACATGATAAGCGGTTCAAAACAAAACAGAAGTGCCGCAGGTATGTTGCACAACAAAGAACTTTTCTGCCAATCTGGCTTTATCGCAGCTTAATTTGTAAACCGTTTAAATCTTTGGAATAAGTGGAATGATTGGAGTAAGTGGAATGATTTTTGGGATATTAAACTCCCCAAAATTGAGAACCACCATAATGGTTGGTGATGTGTCTACTGGCCTCCTTGCCCTCCCGTACACAAATTTTTGTGCCATTTTTATTAAAATGTGGGCAACACTTTTGAATACATTAGGATTTCCACATGTGATAAGATATGTAAGCTCAAGTGTTTTTCAATAAACATTTATTTATTATAGTCTTGTGATTGTACTGTTGTAGCATAAGCGTATTTACATGAAAATAATTTCATTGGGAAACAATAGGACCTCTCAAGTATTACTAGGCTACAAGGCTACTTGTTAGACTAGTTTTATAAATGTAACAAATCTCGAAGTAGTCAGTTGAACTTTTTAAATTCAGAATAAATAATTTAGCAGTGTTCACAATTTTGGGTTTTGTGCAATTTATAAAAGTTTATTTGCTTTTAAGAGAAGAGTTCAAAAAAATACTTCTTTATGTTCTTTCCCCAGTTAGATTTCAGAGCTTTCCCAACCAATTATTTATTTATTTATTTATTTATGAGACTTATATACCGCTTTAAGTGCAAGCACTCTCTAAGCGGTGTACACCAGTAAGCAATGTATATATATATTTACATTGCCCCCAACAATTAGAGATGAATTATGTCTTAGCCATTATTTTTTAATCTAGATTTCCTGCCAGACTTTCCTCCGTTTAAGAAATCCTAATAACTGTCACTGACAGTAATAATTTAAGATCTCTTAGTCATGGGAAGAATAGAATTGCAAGGCTATGCCCCTTCTGCAACTCTGCTTAGACATCATGTTAACTTAGTTACATTGTATTTAAGGTATATGAGTAAGTAACATGAATATATATATATATATCTGCAAGAGATAGTCTATACATGTAGTAGCTACCAACAGTGGACTTCTGTCATTGTTTGAAGCACTAAACGTTTCCAACCTGGAAATTGCCAAGATTGGAAAATAATGTGCTGAGACTAATTGATTTAGCTCACCTTTATTATTTTTATAAATAACCAAGGCAGCAAACATATATAATAACAGTTGTTCCTTCTATTTTCCCCACAACAACCCTGTGAAATACATTGGGCTGAGAGAATGACTGGCCCAAGCTCACCCAGCTGGCTTTCATGGCTAAGGCAGGACTAGAACTATATCAGTAGTATAATTAACCAAAAAAAGTGCTTTGTTGATGAAAAAAACCTACAAACAAAAGTTTGTAACCTGGTGACCAAACGTATTGCATAACTCTATTTCTAACATGTTAGGAAGTGATGCCAGTAATTTCAACAATAATCCATAAATAAAGCTGAATTGTAACGTTCCTTCACATGATTCATGTGAATAATTATCTTAATGTAGCACAGAAAAGGATTGCAGTTTCATTGAGGGGGGTTAGAGTTGGTTTAATATGAATTTGAATTTCTTATATCCAAATTCAATGGCCTCTACTCCATATTGAATTAATGCTTATATTGCCAATTTTTTGAAAGCATCACATTCTGAATGAAAGTTTTTATTTTTGCTGTTGTAACATGGCTAAAAAGAAATAGATAAATCTATCAACCCATTTTCTACAATTGTCTTTGTGTTCATTATAAATACTATTTTGGTGTTTTTGTTTGTTTTCAATTTCAGATCGTCTTTATTTTGCCATTCTGTTCCATAAACCAAAAAGCGGTAGTACAAGTACACACTATTTCTGCATAGATGATGAATTTGTGTATGAAAAGTAAGTATAATATTATTCCCTTGTTTTGTAAGACAGAAATAAAAAAATACGAACAACAGCATATATAAAAAATACATTGTGAAGCTTTCTGATAAAATAAATATAATAGGTATCTAGTCTTCTATCATTGGCCAATTGTAGCCGGTCAGAAACCTTTGATCCCAGAAGCATTATTTACATTGTGTATAGTAATCTCATAACATTATTCCCCATAAATTTTACTTACATAGTTTAAATTGTTGGCCCTCATTACTTGTGACAAGAAATCATGGTATGATTTCACTGTACTTTAGGGGTGTGTATGTGTGTTTGTGTGTGAATTTTATATATTTTATTCAAGCCAATCTTGATTCCTAGCAATAGCTTGACATTGCGCAACGTATCGGGACAGTTTTGCCATTGCCGGCAATAGGGTGGGCAAGGCTTCCACGTGACACGTCTGGCCCACAGGCCGGCAGTTTCACACCCCTGGTATAGATTATCTTAGTCTATTCAAAACGATTCAGTTCAGTAATAGAAATTGAAACTGAAACAGGAAGTTTGATTGATATTTTTTTTGCTTTGAAAAGTTTTATTGAGTTTGGAATAAAGCAGTAAAGTCTGCTTTGAACTGAATATTCCTAGAGTCCTATTTTCTAATAAGATAGGAAATGGTTATTGAAAAACTACTAAAATGTGCTAAAGTAGAAGATTTTCATATTTTCAAATATGGGTTAGTCCTTAATTTACAACAGTTCATTTAGTGACCAAAATTACAACTACACTGAAAAAAGTGACTTATGACCACTTTTCACACTTATGACTGCTGCAGCATCCCTGTGGTCATGTGATTTACATTCAGATGTTTGATAACTGGTGCATATTTATGAATTGCAGTGTCCCAGGGTCATGTGATCAGCTTTTCAACCTTCTGACAAGCCGAGTCGATGGGAAAGCCAGGTTCACTTAACAATCGTGTTACTAGTTTAACTGCAGTGATTAATTTAACAAATATGGCAAGAAAAATTGTAAAATGGGGCAAAACTCACTTAACATTTCTCACTTAGCAGCATAAATTTTGAGCTCAGTTGTGGTCGTAAGTTGAGGACTACCTGTATTTGAGGTACTGCAAATATCATTAATACAGTCTATCCTAAAGGGTGGGATTTTTGATATTGCCTCTTTCCTAGGGCTGAGAGAAAGTGACTGGCCCAAGGTCACCCAGCTGGTTTCATGCCCAGGATGAGATTAGAATGCATGTTCTCCCATTTTATAGCCTGGTGCTTTAACCACTACACCATCTGGCTCTACCAAGAGGGATTGCATGGTTGCTAGGAATGAGGTGATAATATAGGAGTACAGTCTGAGAAAACTTGCTCTCTCAAAATATAGTAATGTGTTTACTACAGAAATAGCTTTAAGCTGATTGAATTTCTGAAAAACAATATCCAGTTGCTCTGGCATACTTATTTCCTTTCCCAGTTTTTAAATTAAATAGCAAAGGTCAGAGGGACTTGGCAAATACTTAGGGAATGCATAGTGAATCATGTAGTTCAGAAGAAGTAATTTTATAAAATGCAGTTGGAACAATTGGCAGCTAAAATTAGTGGCAGTGAAAAGAGATGGAAGAAATAAGGATGTTAATAAATAAAGAAATGTATTTTTGCTTCATTGCTTTGAGAATAAATAAAAGGAACCCAATAGTGATTTCTGTTCCTTTTACTTTAGTGCTATTGTGCAAATACTATTTATTTTTTATTATAAGATTGCTTGAAGCTTGTTTATAGCTTTTGTAATATATGTATAAAATAATGTGCACATTATTTTTATAAATGAACATTATATAGCAGTCAAAAAGGCTTATTTGAAAGAGAACTCATTATATAGTAAAGCAGGAATCTGGCATCTGTATCAGTTTTGTCCAAGATCTGAAAAATGGAATGCTAGAAATGGGAAAGAGCATTTTAACTTAATTATGTGGTTCCTAGAATTCTAGGTAATAATAATAATAGTAATAATAATAATTCCAAAGAGTTTAAGAATGGTTAAGATTTTTTCTAAGGTGTAAACCTGGAAGCAAATTGATACATTTATTTCTTTAACTCTATAAATATTGTGATGTTTTAAAATTATTATTGCATTTGTTAACTGATTTGAAACATGATTTATGTTAAGAATCATGTTTCATGTTAAATTGAAAAATAATATCCATCTCCACAGAGTCTCCATTGAGTTGAGCTCTTACTTCATAAATATTTCCATGTAGTTTTCTTAACAACAAAATGGAAATAATTTGCCACTGCTTTCTTTTAGGATGTTTTTTGACTTCCCAGTCTAGCTTATAACTTAATGGTATCCCATCCAACTATTAATCGGGTCCAGTCCTTTTTTGTCTCCAAAATCAGAAAGATCAGTTGGGAAATACATTTTCTACTATAGAGCATGCTTCCTTGATTAGTTATTGTGACTAAAACACTTGAAAGATCAGTGTTTTATAAATTTACACTGGGAAACTTGTGGCCTATCAAGCATTTTAGAATTCTTACACCCAGATAGAAGTTAATGTTAATGGCAGTGAATATCCAGTACATCAGGAGAATCCCAAGTAGGGAATTGTGGCTTGGATGGTATATCCTTGAATGAAAAGCGATTGAAATAAAGAGAAGATCTTAACGTTGGTATACAGTATTCCCATTATTGGCCTCCAGAAATTTTCATATTTTAATCCAAAGCACTAAATATGGGAATGTGTAGCATTGTTTATTGCATTTATTACAAATGAAAAATAGACTGAAAAATATTTCCTAACTTTCTATGATATCTCACTATCGCTTTAAGGAGAATTATTTTTAGAGACCAACAATTTTGTTTTTACCCCAAGAAGGTTGAAATTATTGACTGGGTTGAAGCTAGAGTCTTCAGTTCATTTGTAATAATATGAATCAGTTGAATTATATCAGAAAAGGCCTGCAGTCCAGAGAGGAGACCTGTCTAAATGGTTTTCTCATAACATTTCACTGCTAAGAGCAAATGGTTGTTCAGTTTTCAAGCTGTTTGATTTTCTCGGCTTCCAGAGAAATTGCCATCTATATGCCTGAAATGTTTAGATGCCAATTAGTTTTCTTCTAGGGCACTTTCCCTATTCTACTTCGCTCCAGTTATTTGGAAATTCTGGGAGCTGAAGTCAACACATCTGAAAGAATATAATGAAATTCTACTTTAGGTTTAGACTTTTCTCAGTTGTGAAATAATCTTAAAACTGTTTATTACTAGATATTACTAGTTGACTAAGAGTTTCCATGTTTTCTCTTGCTTGTTATTCACAAAAGTTGCATAAAGTAGTTTTAACTTAGGCATTCCATGTTTGGACTGGCTTTGATTGTGGAATTCTGAAAAGAGCATCTATGTTTAAGCGTTGTTCATCCATAAATTGATACATATCAACCAGGATATGTATATTCTGCATGAGTCATGGATATATTTCTCTGTATTGCCCTGGAGATCAGGAATGATGCAAATGATGACCTGGCTTTATAATCTCACTTTTAGCTACCGTCATATTAGTTGTCACTTTGGTGCCTCTCTGTCGGTATAATCTGCCACTGAATAGTGGGTAAGCTATAAGTAGTATGAATAATTGAACAAATTAATACATAAATACTTGTTAAAAAGAAGCCAGCTCATGGTAAAGATATATTTAAATAAACACCAGGAAATTCCCTATTTAGCTATGGTGAACATTCGGTTTTCTGCATCTGTAGGCCCTCTTTCAGCTACATCCAATGAAGAAGTAGGTCAGTTAAAACACGAAGCTTATCGGCTGGTGTATACAGAGAGGCAAGCTCAGATCAATGAATCATGCAGAGTTGAGTCAATCAGCTCTCTTTGTGGGTTGATTCTTCAGGCTTACCTGTACCCTTAATAGTCTGATAAATTTACAGCATGTTATATGTGTACTATAGTATTAGTCACTTTTATATTTTAATGGAAGATGTGCCTACAAAATATTGCATTACCTGTTCTAAAATGGTTTCACCATTTATTGACTTTATAATCTAGGAGATATTGCTGTTTTATTTGACAATATATGTAAAGCTTGCAAGGTTTTTTTCCCCCACCAATAATTACATTGTATTTCAATGCTTATCTTGAAAAAGATGGGGGGGGGAACATGCCAGTTACAATACCTATTTATTAAAATTTAAACATCTGCAGTGGGAGTGTGTGGAGAGAATGTGAGTTTAAGACATTTCAATAAGGTCTTTTTTTTTCCCCTTCCCTATCCTTCTTTTCTCCTTCTCCCTCCCCTTTTTCCAAGCTTCTATGCAGATTTTGGCCCACTCAATCTGGCAATGATTTACAGATACTGTTGCAAGCTAAATAAAAAATTAAAGGTAACATCTAATAGTTCAGTCATTCTCAGTTTCTTTATAAAATGCTAGAGGAAATGAACACTCTTTTATATTTGTTTTGTTTGCACTTTTTTATTATTGTATACTCCCTTTCCAGAAAAAGTATTAAAATCTTAAGATTTATTTTGGCATTGTTGTTACCCTAGTGAGGGAAAATATGTTGCTAGAAGAATGGGAAAATATTTCATAATATAAATAATTGGGAATTCATAATGTAGCTAATGATTAAAGGCAGAAACACAAACTTCTAAAACTTGAAGTCCTATTAATCAGGAGCAGAAGTAACTTATTGACAAACTGTGGGGTCTCTTCCCTGTAATATATTGTAGTGATTGGTTATCAATATCTGGTTTTTAGTTAGAAGCACATTTCTTTATTATATTTTTTAACATCTTATGTGTATTCATAGTTATTCACATTCCTGAAGATGGTAGTACTGGCATATTTTAGTCAACTTATATAAAGCATAATACTGAAAGTACAGTTATTATATTCTATGGGGATGTATAAATAAGTCAAAGGAATGAAATCTGTTCCCGTTTCATGATCCCTCTGAAAATGAAATAATTTTTAGTTACTATGTTTTCATCAGTTGTGTCATGATACAAATAAATAGCTTGTGATTTATCTCTCTTTTTTCCATTGGAAATAGTCACATGCAGTGGCTGCCTGAGCTGTATGATAACTAGCCAGTTATTTTCGTCTGTGAAAGTAGTATTCATTTAGTATTCTTTAAGAACTGGTCTTTTTGTAGATATACATCTTTAGAGATATAATCCTTATATGTTCTAGGTTATGTCGGTATGTATCTGCCTCTTTTCTGCTGTAAGTGAATAATAATTTTCACATGCATCTTAAACCACTTTATAAATTAGTCAGACTTATTAAATCAGCAAAGCTGAGAAACATTACTGTACTGCAGTGGTTCTTAACCTGGGTGATATTGCCCCCCAGGGGGCGATTTTGTTTTTCAGGGGGGCAATGGAACGAAAAGGGGCAATGCGGGGGCGAAGGAACGAAAAGGGGGTGATATGGGGGCGATGGAGCGAGAAGTTTTGGGGACACTTTTGAGTCTTTTTCGTACAGTGAATCGCTGTATATCTGTCGTACAAAAACATCAGATCGCTCGCTATCAGCGGATTGATTTGTGTTTTCAAATGTTCCTCCAGTTAGCTTCAGTACAGAATGCCGTACATATGTGAAGACATATCGCTTATCTTCATGCGTGTTGTGCAGCAGCGTCTATCCATACAGTGGCGCGCCATTGGCCAGAATATGGGAGATACGGGGAAAAGACTGGAAATAAATTATTTGCATCAATATGTCCTGACGACAATTTTAAAGAAAACAAAAAAAGGGTTTGCATAAAATGAAGAATTATTTCCTATGTTGTGATTGAGAGGTTATGTTGGGGGAGGGGGGCGATGACAACTTCCTCATTGGCTCAAGGGGGCAATTCATTCAAAAAGGTTAAGAACCACTGCTGTACTGTATAGTAACTTCATTCCATAATTGAGTCAAAAATATGGAACAAACTAACCACTGAAGCATGTTGGAACCTTATAAATTATTTCATTAAGCTAGTGGTTTGCTTAAAATTTTGTTTCTTATTTTTTTGTTTGCTCTCAGGACAATTCCCAGTTTTAAAAATTATGAATCAAATAGTTTTTCTTTGTCTGGGTTATATTTATTAATATTTGTCATATTAAAGATTAAAATTGATATATTTGAAGGCTATTTGGAATCATTACATGGAATTATGTAAAAATAATAAATGGATTAGATATTAACATAAAGCATTCCTCACAAAAAGTGCTATTAGTTTCCAACAAATACAAAATGAGAAACATAATCTTTTAAATTTTTGCAAATATCTTTTAATAGGTGGCAAATTTCAATTATGTTGAACTCCTGAGATGGTCTTGGGGGGGCAGGGGTCCTCAAACTACACCTTAAGAAACGCTGGCTTAAAATATTAATTTGAATGTTATTTTTTTCCTCTTGCTATATTTTTGTTATATATAAGAATCCAAGTGCTACATTCTCTTTTTATAGTGGATGTCATGGAACTACTTTGTAAATGTAGCATCTCTGCATTTGACTATTTAAATTGTATTTGGGATATTTACATTCATTAATACATTTAAAATCCAGGGATTCCAATTATAATTCTGTTCATTTCTTGATAGTCTTTTACCATGTTAAGGAAGAAGATTATTCATTATTGCAGTTCGGATCAGAAAAAGCAAGCCAATGCAGCCTTCCTCATAGGCTGTTACACAGTAAGTATTTTAACATCTTAAACTGACAAAGCTCACAAATTTGAACATATTCTTCTGTGTTTCAAAGATTAAAAAGTTGTACTTATATGCATTTTCTTTCATCAAGGGAACTTTAGTATAAATTCTCTAGATTTCATAGTTACAGAACTTATTTAAGTAAAATAAAAATTAAATTGAAAAACAGAACATTTTGAAATGGCAGTCACGAAGTGGACTCAATCTGAATGACAGATAGTAAAGAAGGGGGGGAGCAAAATGCTTGTTTGAAAGTAAGGGTAGGGTCCAAAACGTGTCCACAAACAAACAAACTAAGCTCCATGCTCGTGAGCATATCAGGAGCTAGAAAAAGTGAGAGAAAGCAATCCCAGTTTGATTTCATGGCTCACTACTTCAATAACGTGTTTAAAAAAATGACATATTCTTATCTTAGATGTAGTTTCTGTAAAGTTGACTTTTGATAACCTCAAAGTATGCAAGTTTGGGATTGCAGCTTTAATTTCCATCTTTATTAATTACATCCACCTCTTATTTAGCATCTATGTCAATTAGCAATCATTTGTGAATATAGAGATAATAAATGGCAACAAAAATTCATTCTTTTGACCAACGCAGACATTTAGAATCAACTTTCCTATGCCTGACAACAAATGTTTTCAGTGTGAGACTGATTAAGATCTGGTCAGTTTCAATTTCAGTTTCAAGCCACAGGTGAGCCAGTGGAAGGGTTTTAATCACTATTTAAGGTCACAGAACTGAGCTTGTTCACTTGTGGTTATGTCTTTTTAGGAAAATGCTGTGCTGCAGAGAAAAGCAGCTCAGGAAAAGATAGCTTGTTTAAGCCATCTCTCCACCCTGCAAAAAAAGGGGGGGGGGATGTCAAGCACAGGTCAGTGTAGGAGAAAACTATCTGAAAGAAGCCAGTAGTAACCACTGATCTTTGTTCTCTTTCTCAGTCATGAGTTTGCTCAGCCATTTCACTTAATGGCAAAGTTGCTAGAATGCTGCATGAGGAGAGTGTGTAGTTATAATTTTTATGTAAAAGGTACTTCCATTCATGTACTGAAGGAATCAACCAATGAGAGTAAGGTGGAAAAGTGAATGGGCTCCTGACCTGGAAAATTATCCTTTCTCAAGCTCTCTGTACAAGTTAAAGTATACTTGCTTTATGAAGAGTAAGTGGCATGATCCACTGATTCTGAACTGATCATCCAAAAATAATAGTCCTTATGGAAATCCTTCCTATTCTTAATAGCATTTGGAATTGTGATTTCATATTTTTCATTAAATCATTGTGCTATTCCTATTATTTGTTAATAATGCACAAAAATCTGTTTTAATTCATTCTTAAAGTAAGATCCAGAATAATAGTCACAATTATTTTCTCCTATGCATGAGGGTGGATGGGTGTCATGATATTGAGGACCACACCCGAGAGCCATATGGTCAGTGGACTCTGTTCAACTCAAACCTAATAGGATATCACTGTGTAATATAACACAGAGTTTTTATTCAGATAATCACGCTGTTCACACTTGCTTATTTAATTACTCTGGGGTACACATTCTTTTAATCCAATTCAGTTATTGCTAGCAACTGGGAGAGGGCATAATCCATGTTTTTCTTAATTATTTTTGGACTCAGTGGCTTGATCTGTGACATAATATCACCCAAGGGGTTAGTTTTGACTGATTTGGATGGATTATAAGATTTAAATAGCAGAAACTACGTTATCATAAAATAGTGTTCTTTACATGATCTGGGAATGCTCTGGGGCTTTGTTAGTGAAAACTATATGCAACCCATGTGCCACTATTTGTCACCTTCAATTTATAATATCCAACATTGTCAAACTTGATTTATCATTTTCTTGTTATAGCAGAAGAATGTGGGTAAAATCATCTTTATTTTAACACAAGTACAGCCTCATCTGTTTTATTACAATTCCAAATGTATCTTTACTGCAGATTTATCTGAATTAATATTCTAAAAGGAATTTAAATATTTAATTTGCATGATTACTTAATCCAAAAATAATTTAAAGATAGTTTAATCAAACTAGTTGTTATTGATATAAATTAATTGGATAGTTGTTAACATGAAACTTCAGCTGTAGTTATCTTAAGAGATTTTTCTACTTTTGTGCACACAGTGAAATACCTTTACTAGGACATGTAATATATGTATTACAAGATGTAAAATGTTACCCATGTATGTAATCTTAAACAAAATACAATTACTGCAAAGAAGTGATTTTATTCATATAAAATATTTTCATGTTTGTTTAGATGATTGAGAACATAATTAAAAACTTACGATTTTCTTTTTTGTATCAAATTATGATATATAATGTCTTTCAATCTAATAGGAATTTCCTCTTGTTTAAGAAGATGTTTTAACAGATTTATTTCCCCCTATGATGTTTGTGTGTGTGTGTGTGTACACACACACACACACACACACACACACACACACGTACGTACGTACGTGTGTGTGTGTGTGTGTGTGTGTGTGTGTGAGAGAGAGAGAGAGAGAGAGAGAGAGGGGGGGGGTGGGGTGGGGGAAGGAGACACAGAGAGAGATCTCAGTTGATCTTGTCTTTTCAAGTTGAAAACCCAAATGCCTTAAGCAGATTACACAGAATTAGAATGAATAGTCTACATTATATTTTATTTTTGAATGGGCTCATGCCCCTAAGGAAGAAAGAAATATTTAAGTTAAAGAGATTCATTTAAGTTAAAGAGATTCATATTGCTCAATGCTAAATTCCTTTTTCAAAGAACTTGTTATGGTTGTTAATAGCCTTTCTGTTCTAATCTCTACTATTTGGGTTTGAAATTGTGTTAGAGGTTTCTAGAGGGCATGTTAAAAACATTTAGTAAGTTTTCAAGGCATATTAAATATGAAGAGTTAAATTAACTTTCTACTTGATGTGAAATTCTTAATCATTGTTATAATGAAAGTTCTTGTGTTAATTAACTGGGTTACTATAGCTTAGAATTTAATGTGTCTATTAGCTATTATCAGAATGCTAATATTTTCAAGCACCTGTAAAGTATATAGTGAATGCATTTTTCTAATGGTTATTGTATTGTATTCAAAATATAACTGAGAAAATAATGTTTTCAAATTTTAGAGTGCCTTGCAATTCTGAAATATATTTTTAATCTTAGAAATACAGTTATGTACAAAGTCGTCCTATGTAACACAATTCAGAGACAGTTAGAAAAGCTTTCAGGTCAGTGACTCTTATGTGCTTAATTGGTTTTGGGACCCAGTTCAGAATGTTACGTGCATCTTCTTGGGCAAAGCAGATGAAGCCAAAAATATTCTTTTTCATAACTTCTATCTGCAACACTTTCTGGAAATATGTACACGGAATCAAGAGATTACTGCTTGCTTCTTCTGCTCTGCCATGGTTATGAAATGTTGTAAAGACAGATTTTTGTCTTTATGGATGTTTTTCATCTGGTGATATATCTAATTTTTGTTAAATCCTGCCCTTTACTTTCCTACCATATTCAATAAGAATATTAAACACACAAAATGATTAGTTATGTAAAGTTCAGCAGCAGCAGAAAGAGGTGTTTGAAATAACACAAAAAGATAGCAAAATTCCTTAAGACCCTATAGATTTTCATAGTGATCTGGTTGTTTAGTCTTTTATAATTATTTCTCATCTCATCTATTGACATTTCTTGTATGCCAAGCTGCATTGAAGTAATTAGAATGTGTGAACTTGGACTTGTGCTGCTGGAAAAGCATGTAGGAAATGTTGAAGAAATGAAGTAGCAATTAGAAAATAGCGATTGTTTTTGCTTTGCTTTCCTTAACTAAAGATTAATGTGCCAATTTTGTCTTAAAAGGGAGCACTGTGTGGGAAGAAGTGTAAAATTCTTCATATTATCACACTAAACTTCTGCAGTAGGTGCTTTCTATCTACTAATATTACAAGGATTAACCCAGAATTGTCCTTTCTTCTGTTTCCTTTTATGTGTCTTAATTTAGAAATAGCTTCTATTTGTCTTGTCCGCCTTTCTTTGTCTTTTGCCTCCATCTCACTTCTTTCCCAACCCTGCATTAACTTAGTAACAGTGTTTCTTTTTCTCAGGCTTGGCACTAATTATGTTTGGAGGGCTACCCTTCTTGGGTCCTACCCCCAAGAATTGCGGTAATTCAGGTGATCTTCTCCAGGACTCTTCTCTGTGTACTTTATTTTCTCATCTTCTTCCTTCAGGGTAAGCAGTTTCCTTCACATCTTGTGCTTCCCCCTCCCCCCTTTTTTTTCTCCTAAAAATCCTTCCTAGGTTTCAACATTTTTTAGTTGTAACCTGTTTTAGATGGCGCTGTTGAAGCAGACACATCATCTCTGATGTAGCTTTCAAACATGTAACTTCTTTTCTATTAGTTTGAAATTAGATGAAATTAAACATATGCCATTAAAATCAGTTTTAATTTCTAGGTTGATGCATAAAACATAATGCCAGAAGTATGTTTCATGTTCAATGTGTAGATTTTCATAGGCATCTCCTTACTTTATTTTATTTTTAAAATGTGTTCTTCAGATTTTATGTGGCTGCTGGTATTTTTCTTTTGCTTTTTATGATCTCCTTCTCTCTGAATGGGTATATCATACAGTACTCTTGTGTGTCTTTTATTCAAGGGATGATATATTACCTTATCTTTATCCTACAGTATATTAGATGTCAAGGTTTATTTTCTACTGTACATAAGGATTTTTTTTTTGTCTTTTACCGGTTTAAGAAATTTCTGTTGCCTTTAATTTTGCATTGTTAATTCATAAGTTTTGTTTATGCACTGGTTTAGGATTATGATTTTGCAGGGAGTAGACTTTTTTTTCTTACCTTCATGAAAATATACTTTTTAAATAAAAAATATAAACTGCTGGAGACTTTGAAACTATCCTAAGTCCAGTAGGTCTTGATATTTGTTTTTTCTAAAAATGTACTTAATTTTACAGGTCTCCCTCTCTTCCAAACTTT